TCCCATCCCATCCCATCCCATCCCATCCCATCCCATCCCATCTCATCCCATCCCATCCCTGCATTCCCATCCCATCCCATTATCCCATCCCACCCCATCCCATCCCCGCATTCCCTGCTCTCCCATCTGATCTCATCCCATTCCCACATTCCCTGATCTCCCATCCCATTTCATCCTTACCTTTCCTACTGTCCCCATCCCGGCCCTGCTCTCCCATCCCGGCCCTGCTCTCCCATCCCCTTCCCACATTCTTGGCTCTCCCATCCCGGCCCTGCTCTCCCGTCCCATTCCCACATTCCCGGCTCTCCCATCCCATCCCCGCTCTCCCGGCCCATCCCCGCTCTCAGGTCCCCTTCCCACATTCCCGGCTCTCCCACCCCATCCCCGCTCTCCCATCCCATCCCCGGTCTCCCACCCCATCCCTGCTCTCCCATCCCGGCCCTGCTCTCCCATCCCATTCCCACATTCCCGGCTCTCCCACCCCATCCCCGCTCTCCCATCCCATTCCCACATTCCCGGCTCTCCCACCCCATCCCGGCTCTCCCATCCCATCCCCGCTCTCCCGTCCCGTTCCCACATTCCCGGCTCTCCCACCCCATCCCCGCTCTCCCGTCCCCTTCCCACATTCCCGGCTCTCCCGGCCCATCCCCGCTCTCCCGTCCCGGCCCTGCCTCGGGGCTCCCCGCCGGGCCCGGGGCTCAGGTGAGGCGGCCCCGCCGGTGCCGCCCGCCCGCGGAGCGGCCGCCCGGGGCCCGGGGCTGCGTGGGCGCCCGCGGGTGGGCGGCGGGGCGGGGGCGGAGGGAGGGAGGGGTGCGGGGCGCGGGTCCGCGTGTGTGTGCCGTGCCCAGGGGGAGGTTTCTTGCACACGCACGCACACACACACCGCACACACGCGCGCACCCGCAGGACCGGCCCCGCTCCGGCCCCCCCCCCGCTCCCGGCTCACACCATGTTCCAGCCGTCCGCGAAGCGCTGCTTCACCATCGAGTCCCTGGTGGGCAAGGACGCCCCCCTGGGCCCCGAGGACCCCCCGCGCCCCGCCGCCCTCGCCTACCCCGGCCCCGCCGCCGCCGCCGACGCCGCCGCCTTCGCCCCCGGCTTCCAGGGAGCCGCCGGCCGGGCCCTGTACGGCAGCGCCGAGCTCGTCTTCCCCGAGGCCGTGGGGCACCCGGCGCTGCCCGTCGGGCCGCCCCAGCTGGGGGGCTCGGCCCTGCCGCACCCGCACCCCTTCTTCGGGCCGCAGCACCGCGACCCGCTCAACTTTTACCCCTGGGTGCTGCGGAACCGCTTCTTCGGCCACCGCTTCCAAGGTGAGCGGGGCCGCGGGGGGCGCGGGCCGGGGGCTGCGGGGCCCCGGGGGCTGCGGGGCCGCGGGGCTCCTTCCCGGGGCTCGGGGGGCCCGGCTGACGGCCAAGACCTGTTGCTGCCGTGCCCGCACGCACGGCCGGGGCCCCGGGCGCTCCGCGGTGGGGCCGGTGCCTCCGAGCAGCCGGTGCCTCCGAGCAGCCGGTGCCTCCGAGCAGCCGGTGCTTCCGAGAACCCGGTGATTTCGAGCACCCGGTGGTTCCGAGCACCCGGTGGTTCCGAGCATCCGGTGCCTCCGCACGCCCGGTGATTCCGAGCACCCGGTGGTTTCGAGCACCCGGTGCCTCCGAGCACTCGGTGCTTCCGAAAACCCGGTGATTTCGAGCACCCGGTGATTTCGAGCACCCGGTGCCTCCGAGCACCCGGTGCCTCCGCACGCCCGGTGATTTGGAGCACTCGGTGATTTCGAGCACCCGGTGCCTCCGAGCACCCGGTGCCTCCGCACGCCCGGTGATTTGGAGCACTCGGTGATTCCGAGCGCTCGGTGGTTCCGAGCACCCGGTGCCGGTGCCTTTGCCCAGCCGCGGCCGGAGCGCTCCCGCAGCCCCGGGGCCGGGGCCGGGGCCGGGCAGAGCCCCGCAGAGTCCCGGCCGAGCATCGCGGAGCTCCGGGCGACGGGACCGGCGCCGCCGCCTCCGTGCGCAGCCGAGCCGGGAATTTGGTTTTCTCCTTCCCGGGAACGAAGGGAAGGATTTCGGTGCGGCGGATCTCGGCTCCGCAGAGAGATGTTGTTTGGTTCCGTAGATTTTCTTTCGATTCCTTTTCTTCTCTTAATTTCTTTCTTCTCTTTCTTTCTTCTCTTTCTTTCCTTCTCTTTCTTTTCCTCACTTTTTTGTTTTGCTTCTTTCTTTCTTTCTTTCTTTCTTTCTTTCTTTCTTTCTTTCTTTCTTTCTTTCTTTCTTTCTTTCTTTCTTTCTTTTTCTTTCTCTCTCTCTCTCTTTCTTTCTTTCTTTCTCTCTTTCTCTCTTTCTCTCTTTCTCTCTTTCTCTCTTTCTCTCTTTCTCTCTCTCTTTCTCTTTCTCTTTCTCTCTTTCATTCTCTCTTTCGTTCCTTCTTTCTTTCTCTTAATTTTCTCATTCTGTCTCTATTTCTTGTATCTTTATTTTCTTTCTCTCCGTTCCTTCCTATCCTCTTTCTTTTCCTTTCTTTAGCTGCATCTTTTCCTTTAGTATTTTCCTTTTTTTTCCCTCGGTTTTTCCCCCCCCCCCCCCGTTTTTCTTTTCTCTTTTTTTGCCTCTCCGTTTCCCCGGCACCGCCGTCGCCTCTGTCCCGCCGCGGTGCCGGGGGGTCCCGCAGCCCGGATTAGTTTTATCTGCTCGGCACCAACCCCTCGTTTGTCCCCGGGGCTCCGCCGGGGATTGCGGGGAGCGGCTCCGGGTCCCGCACGGCCCCCGAGCCCGGCCCGCCGCTCTCCCGAGCCCTCCCTGGGTCCTGCCTTCTCTCTCCGCCTTCAGTTTTCCTTTTCTTCTCTTGCTTTCGTTTCTTCCTACCTTGTTTCGCTCGCTTGCTCTGCAGCTTTCCTGCTCTCGTTCGTTATCCTTTGCTTCTTTCCTTCCTTTTCTTTTTTGCTTTCCCACTTATTGTCTCTTTCTTTCCGTCTCCTTTCACTTTCTTTTCCTTCATTTTTTCTTCCTCTTTCTTTCCCCCTTTTTAAAATTGCTTTCCCACTTTATTCCTCTCTTTCCTTGTCCCCTTCTCTCTTTCTTTCCTTCTGTCTTCCCTCCACATTTTTCTTTCTCAGTTTTCCTTCTCTATTTTTTCCTGTCACTTCCTCAGTCTTCCTCCTATTTTATAATTTCTTTTTCTCTCCGTCTCAGTTTTTTCTCTGCCTCCCACCTCCTTTTCCTGCTGCTCTCTCCATCCATCCATCCATCCAGCCCTTCTCCCTCTCATTCTTCCTTTTTCTCTCCCTCCCCTCCCTCTGGCGCCGCGGGGCTCAGAGCATCCAGGAGGGAGAACGCGGCACAACCGCCGCAATTTCGGAGCGGGGAACGCTCCCCAAACCCCGCAACTCCCCTCCCGTGTCTCGGGGCCGGGAAGCCGGGCCGGCAGCCGCCGGGGCCGCGCTGAGCTCCGCGTGTGCCCGCAGGGAGCGAGGTGTCCCAGGAGAGCCTCCTGCTGCACGGCCCCTTCGCCCGCAAGCCCAAGCGCATCCGCACGGCCTTCTCGCCGTCGCAGCTGCTGCGCCTCGAGAGGGCCTTCGAGAAGAACCACTACGTGGTGGGCGCCGAGCGCAAGCAGCTGGCCAGCAGCCTCAGCCTCTCCGAGACGCAGGTACTGCCCCCGGGCCCGGCCTGGCCCACCTGGGCCATCGCGTGTCCCACCCTGTGCCACCTGGGCCACCTGGGCCATCGCGTGTCCCACCCTGTGCCACCTGGGCCACCTGGGCCATCGCGTGTCCCACCTGGCCCATCGTGTACCCCACTGTGTCCCCACCCTGGCCCACCGTGTGTCCCACCCTGTGCCACCTGGGCCACCTGGGCCATCGTGTGTCCCACCCTGTGCCACCTGGCCCATCGTGTACCCCACTGTGTCCCCACCCTGGCCCATCGTGTGTCCCACCGTGTCCCATCATGTGTCCCACCGTGTCCCATTGTGTGTCCCACCGTGTACCCCGTGTCCCACCCTGTCCCACCCTGTCCCACCTATGCCACCTGGCCCACCGTGTCCCACCTGGCCCATCGTGTACCCCCCTGTGTCCCCACCCTGTCCCACCGTGTCCCACCATGTCCCACCATGTTCCACCGTGTCCCCACCCTGTCCCACCTATGCCACCTGGCCCACCATGTCCCACTGTGTCCCACCATGTCCCCACCATGTCCCCACCCTGTCCCACCATGTCCCACTGTGTCCCACCATGTCCCCACCATGTCTCATCGTATGTCCCACCTTTGCCACCCTGTCCCACCCTGTCCCACCATGTCCCACTGTGTCCTACCTGTCCCATTGTGTGTCCCACCGTGTCCCCACCGTGTTCCATCGTATGTCCCACCGTGTCCCACCCTGTCCCACCGTGTCCCGGCCCTGGCAGTGGCACCAGCCCCGCTCAGCGCTCCTGTGTGAAGCCCCGGCCGGGATTGCCCAGCACCCCCAGATGCTGCGGCTGTTCCGGGCTCCTCGGGGCGGGTCTGGGGTTTTTTGGGGCAGCTTTCGGGTGTTCCAGAAGCTGGGGCAGGTTTGGGGCTGGGGATGTGGCTCTGGCGCTGTCCTGGCTCTCCGGAGCATTTTCCCGGCGTTGTTTCTCGCTGGTTTGGGGTTTTTCCCTGGGAGCAATTTGTGGGTTGGAAAATCCTGCGTGGAAAGGAGGCCGGAGGCTTCCCCGGAGAGCTGGAAACCCGTGGCTGAGCCGAGCGGCTCCGGGGCTCTGCTCCAACACCCGGAATTCTGGATGGGTGTGGAGACGGTGCTGCCGAAGGGCGCCGGCTTTGGATGAGACTTTCTGGGATCAGAATCCCCAGGAATTGAGATGTAAGGAGACCCAGGAGAAGCAGAAGGATGAAAGGAAAAGTGCACAGAGCCGGGGGAGAACGTGGGAGCTGGGGCTGAGCATCTCTGTGTGTCCGAGCCGGTGTTCCGGTGAGCGGCTGTTCCCAAACGCTCCGGGAGAAGGAGTTTTATTTCCCGGGATATTCACCCAGCAGCTGAGCGGAGTGAGAAAGTTTCCCCCAATTTCTGGTGAGGCGGTTGGGCCTGTGCGCTGAATCAATTGCATTTTTAAGCTTCCATTTAGTTGGGAAATGAAGCTGGAGCCGTGGGTGTTCCCAGTGCCCGCCTGGCTCGTCCTCGCCCCGGCTCTGCCAAGCAAAAACCTCCAGACGCGCCCCTGGGAGCGGGAAGCTCCTGGGAGGAAAATGTCCCCGGCACGGGGACAGCGGCGAGGAGCGGCTGGGGATGCGGGGAAGCAGGGACGGAGCCCCAAAACCGCCGGCTGTCGGGGTCCCGGGGGTGCTGCTGCCCCGAGCCGCAGCCCGCGGCTCAGCGCGACCCTCCCGGCACCTCCCGGGCTGGAATGGAGAAAAAAGGGGAAAAAAGGACAAACCCCAAAGGTCAAAGAACAGCCGGCAACTTGTCGGGGTGGAAAGGGCAGCTGCGGGATGCCCCAGGGGCAGCTCACCATTCCCCAGCATTGCCTGGAGCCTGAAGGCAATAATTCCATTTACTGGGGAAATGCGGCATCCAACCCCAACCCCGGGGAGGTTTCAGAGCGCCAAGAGGCCGCGGGGATATTTGAAATGTTGGTTTTTGTCTGCTGCAGCCTGTTTGGTGGCGCGGTGGTTTTGGCATGGTTTTGGGAAGCTGCTGCTGCTGGCCGGGACCGGGGGAGGCGGCGGCGGGGCCGGGCAGGGCTCCGGCCGCGGGGGCTTCAGGCAGCGCGGAAACGCTTTTCCCTTCTGTTCTGTGGCTTTGCAAAAATCATTTTTTAAAGAAAAATTTGTTCTAATTACCTGGAGGGAAATAATCGCAGTGTGCCGAGGGATGGGAGACACCCGGGTATTGGGATGGAGGAGCGGGACAGCCAGGGGCCGGTGGCTGTGCCAAACCCAGGATATTATTACTGTTATAATCATTATTAATTCAATATTCGGTGATAAATCCTGCAGGGAATCAAATTTCCACGGAAAACCAGCCCGCTTTACCCACGACACCCATCCTGGTGTGCCACAGGTGTGTTTTCACCTGGGGCTGCACACCCAAAGCCACAGTTTGGGGGGGTTTGCCGTTTTTTCCCGGATTTAACAATTCCCAGCCGGGCTGCAGCTCAGGGCTGTGCCTGGCCCTGCTTCCCAGCGGCTTTTCCCTCTGGAAAAGGGAATTTTGCCCCGCGGGCTGTGCCAGCTCCGGGTCCCCAGCCAGGGAGCAGCACCCGGAGCAGCCCAGGGGAGGTGAGAGGGGCTCGGGTCCTGCCCAGCATCGGGAAATGTTTTGGGATTTGGGGGGGGGGGGATGGCGCCGGGGTTTAACCCCTTCCCAGCCGCTGTGCTACGAGGAGCTGCATGAATTCGGGGTCAAATTCGAACAGCAGGCCCGGAAGAGCAAAATCAAAGGGGCTGGGGGAGCAAAAGGCAGCTCGGGGCCCGGAGGGAAATCCAAAAGTGGGATGGGGAAGGCGCAGGGAGGGCTCCGGGGGGAGTGTGGGACGCTCTGAGCCAGGGGAGCCACCGGGGGGTTTGGGTGGGATGGGGACACGGGTGTGACCCAGCGGGCATCGAGAGGGGTGTGGAGGGGGTTCTGGGCAGGGTGGTGGATGTGGGATCAGCAGGATCCCAGCCCTGTGCTGGCACTGGGATCAGCAGGATCCCGGGCACTGTGTGGGATCAGCAGGATCCCAGCCCTGTGCTGGCACTGGGATCAGCAGGATCCCAGCCCTGTGCTGGCACTGAGATCAGCAGGATCCCGGGCACTGTGTGGGATCAGCAGGATTCTGGGAACTGTGGTACTCTGGGATCAGCAGGATCCCGGGCACTGTGATGCTCTGGGATCAGCAGGATCCCGGGCACTGTGTGGGATCAGCAGGATCCCGGGCACTGTGATGCTNTCCCGGGCACTGTGATGCTCTGGGATCAGCAGGATCCCGGGCACTGTGTGGGATCAGCAGGATCCCGGGCACTGTGATGCTCTGGGATCAGCAGGGATCTGGGCACTGTGTGGGATCAGCAGGATCTCGGGCACTGTGATGCTCTGGGATCAACAGGATCCTGGGCACTGTGGGTGCTCTGGGATCAGCAGGATCCCGGGTACTGTGGGTGCTCTGGGATCAGCAGGATCCCGGGTACTGTGGGTGCTCTGGGATCAGCAGGATCCCGGGCACTGTGATGCTCTGGGATCAGCAGGGATCTGGGCACTGTGTGGGATCAGCAGGATCCCAGCCCCTCTGGGGCTCCAGGATTTTGTGCCGGGCTGGGATCTGAGCTGTGTGCTGGGAATGGGACGTGCCGTGTCCTGCCGGGGTGGGCACGGCTTGGCAGTGCCAGCGCCGGTGGCACCAGGTCACTTCCCCTGCCAGGGGAGCAGCCGGGGCTGGGAAGGCGCTTCCCTGGATTCCCCTGGCATCCGGAGCCAGAATTCCCAGCAGAGCCGCTCCAGGCCCGGCAGCTCGTGGGGCCAACCCCACCTGGGACCCCAAATCTGCATTCCCAAAGCAGAGACCTCCCCCGGCTCCTGCAGAGGGAACTTTGGGGTGCTTGTGGGGTCTCCAAGTGTCCTGGTGTCCCCTCTCAGCTTTGGGGTGATTATGGAATTACTGGATATCCCAGTGTCCCTCAAAGCTTTGGGGTGATTATGGAACCCCTGGATATCCCAGTGTCCCTCAAAGCTTTGGGGTGATTATGGAATTACTGGATATCCCAGTGTCNCTCAAAGCTTTGGGGTGATTATGGAACCCCTGGATATCCCAGTGTCCCTCAAAGCTTTGGGGTGATTATGGAATTACTGGATATCCCAGTGTCCCTCAAAGCTTTGGGGTGATTATGGAATTACTGGATATCCCAATGTCCCTCAAAGCTTTGGGGTGATTATGGAACCCCTGGATATCCCAATGTCCCTCAAAGCCTTGGGGTGATTATGGAACCCCTGGATATCCCAGGGTCCCTCAAAGCCTTGGGGTGATTATGGAACCCCTGGATATCCCAGTGTCCCTCAAAGCTTTGGGGTGATTATGGAACCCCTGGATATCCCAGTGTCCCCTCCTGGAGCTGCCCCTGCAGGGACAGAGCAGCCCCGGCCAGGGGCTCGGTGCTGGCTGTAATTAATAATTAATAATTAACAGAGCAAATGCCTGGGAATCACAGGAGGAGAAAGATGCCCAGATAGAGCAGAGCGGCCCCGTGAGAAGCCCCGGGCCGGCAGTGTCCCCTGAGAAGTGTCCCCAGAACCAAACCCGGCAGGTTCTGGGGTGTTTCAGGAGGAGAGTCCCCGCAGGGACAGCAGGACAGGCGGGGGTGCAGCGCTGGCCGGGCCGGTGGCACTTTGGGGGACAGCCAGCACGGGCGGTGCCACCGGGGCTGGTCCCTCCGTGCCCCCTCCAGCCCCACCGCGGTGCCCTCAGCCCCGGTGGCTCTTAGCTGTCCCCGATGTCACCTCGGGGCCGGCGCTGGCTCCCGGTGCCATCGGCGCTCCCGGGGATGTCCCGGCGGTGGCCCTGGCGGCCCTCGGGCGCGGCACGGGTGGGAACGCGCCGGGAAGCGCGGCTGGGAGCCGGGCTTGGGGACGGGACGGGGATGCGGGAGCCAGCCCGGTGCCACCAGCCCTGTCCTGAGCAGCAGCCCGGGCCGGGAGGCGACCCCGGGGACAGAGCCGGCCGGGGGTGGCGGCGCCGGGAGCTCGGCACGCTCCGGCACGAGAAGGGTTAATGTGGCACGGGACAACACCCGGGCTCGGGGCTTGGAGCGGCTCCCCCGGAGCGCGGGGGCGGCACGGGAGGGCCGGGGAGCCCCGTCCCGCAGGAATGCCGGCCCAACCGGGCCGAACCGGGCCGGGCAGGGCTGAACCGAGCCGAACAGGGCCGAACCGGGCCGAACCGGGCCGGGCAGGGCTGAACCGAGCCTGGCAGAGCCGGGGTGGGAATGCTGATTTGGAATGGGAATGTTTGCCTGGGATGGGAATGTTTGCCTGGGATGGGAATGCTCATCTGGGATGGGAATGCTGATCTGGAACAGGAATGCTGATCTGGAACAGGAATGCTGATCTGGGACAGGAATGTTGGCCTGGGATGGGAATGCTGATCTGGGATGGGAATGCTGGCCTGGGATGGGAATGCTGATCTGGGACGGGAATGCTGATCTGGGATGGGAATGCTGATCTGGGATGGGAATGCTGAACTGGAACAGGAATGCTGATCCGGGATGGGAATGCTGATCCGGGATGGGAATGCTGATCTGGAACAGGAATGCTGGCCTGGGATGGGAATGCTGGCCTGGGATGGGAATGCTGACCCGGACAGGAATGTCGGCCTGTGCTGCCGCGGGGAGGCTCCGGAGCAGGAGCAGGAGCAGGAGGTGCCTGTGGCCGGTGCTGAAGGACAGGGGGAAAAGGGCTGAGGATCCCGGGATCAGCCCAGTGCCAGAGGCTGCAGGACCCGGAATGGCGGGACAAGGCTCAGCCTGGGCTGGGCTGGGCCAGGTTGGGCTGGGCTGGGCTGGGCTGGGCTGGGCTGGGCTGGGCCGGGCCCGGGCCGGGCTGTCAGTGCAGCCGAGCAGCGGCACCGAGTGCTGCGGGCCTGAGAGCCAGGCAGGGTCTTCACCCTGCCCAGGGCATCCTCATCCTGCCCGGGGCATCCTCATCCCTCCCGGGGCATCCTCATCCCACCCGGGGCATCCTCATCCTGCCCAGGGCATCCTCATCCCACCCGGGGCATCCTCATCCCAGCTGCAGCCTCCTCATCCCAGCTGCAGCCTCCTCATCCCAGCTGCAGCCTCCTCATCCTGCGCCGCTGCCTGCAGTGTCCCATTCAGTGCCATCCCCCATCGCACCCACTGCAATCTCCCATCCCACCCCAGTGCCATCCCTCACCCCCTGTCCCTGCCTGCAGCACCCAGCACTGCTCCCTGCAGCATCCCAGCTGCAGCAGCCCTCACCACCCCAACTGCCACATCCCTCATCCCATCCCGCATCCATCCCGCATCCCATCCCGCATCCCATCCCGCATCCCATCCCGCATCCCATCCCGCATCCATCCCATAACCCTGCCTGCAGCATCCCACATCTCTTACCCCATCCATTCTGCTTCCTGCAGCATCCTGCATCCCTCACTGCTGCCACCAGCATCCCTCCTCGCTGGCATCCCCCATCCTGCATCTCTGCATCCCTGCATCCATACATCCCTGCATCCCTGCATCCTTACATCCCTGTATCCCTGCATCCTTACATCTCTGCATCCCTGCATCCATACATCCCTGCATCCCTGCATCCTTACATCCCTGTATCCCTGCATCCTTACATCCCTGCATCCCTGCATCCCTGCATCCGTACATCCCTGCATCCCTGCAGCCCTGCATCCTTACATCCCTGCATCCCTGCATCCCTGCATCCCTGCATCCGTACATCCCTGCATCCCCGCATCCTTACATCCCTGTATCCCTGCATCCCTGCCTGTGCCATCCCAAATCCCTGCCTGTGCCATCCCAAATCCCTGCCCGTGCCATCCCAACCCCTCCATGCCCCAGTGCCCCTGTGGGTGCCCTGAGCAGGCCAGGCTGCCCCTGGCCCTGCCCAGCCCTGTCCAGCCCTGTCCCCGCTCCCAGTGCCTCAGTCCAGGACCAGGCCTGGGCCAGGACTCTGGGGAGGGAGGCGGGTGGGACCCCCGGGATGGAGACTCCAGGTGTTTGGGACCCCCGGGATGGAGACTCCAGGTGTTTGGGACCCCCGGGATGNTGGGACCCCCGGGATGGAGACTCCAGGTGTTTGGGACCCCCGGGATGGAGACTCCAGGTGTTTGGGACCCCCGGGATGCAGAATGGGACCCCCGGGATGCAGAGTGGGACCCCCGGGATGCAGAGTGGGACCCCGGGATGCAGAGTGGGACCCCCGGGATGCAGAATGGGACCCCCGGGATGCAGAGTGGGACCCCCGGGATGCAGAGTGGGACCCCCGGGATGCAGAGTGGGACCCCCGGGATGCAGAGTGGGACCCCGGGATGCAGAATGGGACCCCCGGGATGCAGAATGGGACCCCCGGGATGCAGAGTGGGACCCCCGGGATGCAGAATGGGACCCCCGGGATGCAGAGCGGGACCCCCGGGATGCAGACTCCAGGCGGCTCCTGGGACAGTTTGTCTCCAGCCGAGCCCAGAGCTCTCCTGAGAGCTCCGTGTGCTCCGTTCCGGGTGGATAATCGGAATTCCGGTCCCGGCTGGAGGGCGGGGATGGCTCCCAGCGCCATCCCGGTGGCACCGGGCCACGGGCGCCGTGCTGTGGCACCCTGGCACGGCTGGCACGGCTGGCACGGCTGGCACGGCTGGCAGCTGGAGCAGGGCTGGCCGCGGGAGCCCGGCCGGGCTGACGGGCTCGGGGAGCTGCGGGAGCGTCACCCCCGCGCCCCTGCCCCGTCCCCGGGTGTCACCGAGCGCCCTCCACCCTGCGAGGCACAACCGCACCTGCCCCCGTGTGACACCTTGCCGAGGGAAACTGAGGCACGGAGGGGCGGCTGTGGGAGCGCTCCTGGAGGGACGGGGACAGGGACGGGACGGGGACAGGGACAGGGACAGGGACAGGGACAGGGACAGGGACAGGGACAGGGACGGGGACAGGGACGGGGACAGGGACAGGGACGGGGACAAGGACAGGGACAGGGACAGGGACGGGGACGGGGACAGGGACAGGGACAGGGACGGGGATAGGAACAGAGACATGGATATGGACAGGGACAGGGACAAGGCAGGGATGAGGACAGGGACAGGGTTAGGAACAGGGTCAGGATCGGGGACAGGGACAGGGATAGAGGCAGGTACAGGGACGGGAACAGGGGCAGGGATGGGGATAGGAACAGAGACATGGATATGGACAGGGACGAGGATGGGGATAGGGCAGGGATAAGGACAGGAACAGGGATAGGGACAGTGACAGGGACAGTGACAAGGACAGGGACAAGGACAGGGACAAGGATATGAACAGGGACAGGGACAGTGACAGGAGCAGTGACAGGGACAAGAACAGGGACAGGGACAGTGACAGGGACAGTGACAGGGACAAGAACAGGGACAGGGACAGGGACAGGGACAGGGACAGGGACAGGGACAGGGGCAGGGGCAGTGGCAGGGACATGGGGACAAGGACAGGGACAGGAACAGGGATGGGGCCAGGGATAGGAACAGGGGCAATGACAGGGATAGGGACAATGACAGGGACATGGACAGGGACACGGGGGCAGGAACAGGAACAGGGACAGGAGCAGGGGCAATGACAGCACCAGGGACCGTCGGGCCGCTCTGCCGGGCATCCCGAGCCCCCGGGGCGGCCGGAGCCCATTGCGCCGCGTCCCGCCCGCAGGTGAAGGTGTGGTTCCAGAACCGGCGCACGAAATACAAACGGCAGAAGCTGGAGGAGGAGGGCCCCGACTCGGAGCAGAAGAAGAAGGGCTCGCACCACATCAACCGATGGCGCCTCGCCACCAAGCAGCCGAGCGGAGAAGACATCGATGTCACCTCCAACGACTAAGGCGGAGCCGGGCTCCTGGCGCCGCCAGCACGGAGAGCAGCCCGGGCCGGGCAGGGGGCGGCCGGGCGGCCGCAGCCCCCGCGCCGTAGGGACCCCCGCCCCGCCGCCTTCCCGGGGCGCGGGGCCGAGCCCGTCCCGCCCCCGGCGCCCGGGGGTCCCTCGGAGGGGCTTTGGGGGCGCTCCCAGGAGGGACAGGAGGCTGCCAGGGCGGCCCCGGGGCGCGCATCCTCCTCGGCGCTGGAGCCGGGCAGGTCCGAGCAGCGCGTCCCACCAGCAGCTCGATGCTCCAGCCCTTCTCCCTTTGCCTTTTTATTCTCCTTTCCCACCCTTTCACCCCCTCCCCTCCAATTTGGTTTCATCGTTTGGGGTTTTTTTATGACGGTTTCTTTTAATTTATTCTCTCTCTCCCCGTGCCCGTGTGCGCGCGTTCCCGCCCGTGGGCAGCAGCTGGAGCGAGCGTTTCCGCGTGGAAATAAAAGAAAAACGCGCTGGGAACTGCCCCGGGCACCCGCGGGCACGGCGGCCGGGCTGGCACCGGGGAAACTGGGGCACGGGGGGCACTGGGGGCACTGGGAGGTGCTGGG